AATACTTACATTACCCTGCAGTTGGGCAAAATCATCGAATATAAAGCCTATTTTATAATAAAGTAATGAATATTTCATGTAATTTGTGGAATACTGAAAGTTATTGTACTGAAGATGAAAAAACACAATGGTTATATGGCTACTGGAAGTACAGTTTCTACTGAATGCATATCACTCTTGTACCATCATCAAGTCAAAAAATTGCAGATGAGTGTGTTCATTATCTTGGTTGTGCTGATGGTTCCACTGTATATACGTATGTCAAAGCACATCAAATCATACACACAAAATATGTGCAGGTTATTGCATGTCAGGTATACCTCAATGAATCTGTAAACAATGTAATGAAAACAAAACAAAAATTAAGAGAGCAAAGTTTGTAGGCTAAATGGAAAAGAGATACCACCAGGCAGGGAACCAAATAAAGCACAGGGTGGAGGCCCTGGAGGATAAGGGTCAGAAGAGGAGAAATGGGGTAGGTCTCTTAAGTCAAAAGGCTGTGAACTTCTCTATCCCATGTTAGGATAGAAGTTTCCAAGTGTTGCATTTGTTTACTGCCAGATGGCCTTGCCATGCTAGATAAGCACTGAGCCGTCTGAAAATGGTCTCCTGCATAGTTTGGTTTCCTGTTTTCCTGTGTATGTGACGTGCTCAAGTTAGGATTATGTCACCCAATCACATCTGCAGTGGTACAGCACGCTAGCTGGCCAGGTCGGGGGTAGTCAGTAGCCATTTTACAAGCTGCCCATTTCTGGGTTATGCATATCTACTAACAATGGCTATAATATGGAATGGAAATGAACTGTCATCTAACTAAATTTCAGCTCAGTTTCTGGTGTGTATATCAACGATTTCTAAATACTAAGGACGTCAAAATGATTTATATACAATGCTTTTGGTCTAGAACGGGATATACACTCAAATAGTTAATCAAAGGTCTGATCCTTCATGGGCTTAAGTGGAGAGGCACATATTTCTCTCCTGGGGAGGGAAGGGAAAGGACCACAACATTCTAACTCTCTCAGCCAGTCCTCTTCCACTATGCATATATAGGATATGTGGTACTTGGAATTCCTGTACCATACTTAGCCTTTGATATGGCTCTTGAGACTAAGAGAGAACAGAAAATGTTGCATTTAACAACCTGTTACAATGCTTGTTAGAGTGTTTTTATAAACTCTAAGGTGTTATGCAAGTGTCATAGTTAATAGCCTACCCAACACCCAACAGATAGACTGGCCATCTTGCCACCCAGGGGCCTGAGGACTAGATAAACCCTCCCTTGGATAGAATTAGAGGGGGTATGGAATTTAGGAATTAGAGTGTAATTAATTACATCAATTATCCCATAGTCTTTAAAATATTTTAAATTTAAAACAAGTCTATTTAAACAGTTTTAAGATTTACGAAGGATGAAACTTTTCATTAAATGAAAGAAATAGAGGGGTTAAGCCAGGAAATCCTATTTTACATTAAGAAAGTTATTAAGAGACACTGGCTTAAACCTTGGTTCCCTCTGAGTTTATAGGGAGAGTTCCCATGAAGTGCGTGGGTGGAGAAGACAAAGACACGGAGGGATGCTGATGAGGAAAGATGGGGGGGTCCTTTTCTGTTGACCAAGAATGCTGGGGCAAAGCACAGTTGAACAGCAGCCTGCCGGCCTCACACCATGGCACCTTTTGAGTCCCGTCTTCCCTCATGTGCTGGGGGCAGGAGGTGGTGATAGAGGGTGTGGGTCACGGCCAGAGGTTCCTTTCCTCAAAGCAAACAAGCAAACGCTGCATACAGCTCCCCAAAGCCAGGACTTCTTTCCTTTGATCAGTATTCTGGGACTTTTATTAACACATTCGATTTTTCTCATTTATTTGCCTTCAGTCAAGGAAAGCTTATATTTTCATCCTTTGAACAAATCAGACTTGGCAAACCTTGAGGAGGGGTGGCTGTCCCCCACCACTGTGCTGCTCAGAATGTCATCAGGTGGGCCGGTGAGAGGAGCACACAGCTGTTCCCAGCTGATAAAGGGGAGAGGAGATTGTGTCCTTGATTTTATTTCACTTTCTTTGGTATGTGTGGGGCATGGTGCCAAGATCTTGTCTTTTTTTTTTTTTTTAAACTATACTTCTTCAGTTTCATGAAAAGTAATTTAATTTTGTTCTACAGTGAATCCTGATGTTTTTACTTTTTGGGGGTGGAAAGGGTGCTACATTTTTGTTGTTTTCTGTGTCTGACTAGGCAGGGCTTTGGATCCTGTCCTTTGCCCCACACTGCCCAGGGCCTGCTACTTAGCAAGTACTCTGTAGAAATGTGTTCGATGAGCAAGGGCCCGAGCACGGATGCCTGAGGTGCAGGCACGGCACTGCTGACTGGAGAGCCAGGCATCGGCATGGGTATTCTTCAGCACAGTTCCTTTCTGGGAGGGTATTTCTTTTCTATGTGATCAGTGAGAACAGGAGTCCCCAGGATAATTTTAAATAGGTCAGTCTTTTTGTATATACACTGCTCCCCCCTCCCCCCGCCATATGTAAAATGGATTTAGCATATGCCTTTCCAAAACTGCAGGGCCTCACCTCCCCAGACCGCTGTGGCTGATGGACTCTGGGCCCCATGTGGAGCTGTGCTGCCCCTACAGCCTGCAGAAGGCCCGGGGTCTGGCCTTGGCAATGACTGTGGTTTGTGAAGTAACACAATGACACATACATATTCTCTGAGGGGAACCTTGGTCGCACACAGCCCAGGGAATTTGTGTTATTGTAATTTTGGTTCTGAGGCGTTCTTTTATGATTATTATCACTATTTTTAGTAACAGCTTTATTGTGATATAATTCATCTACCATATAATTTCTCCATATTAAGTATACAGTTCAATGTTTTATTTTTAATAACAGCTTTTATTGTGATATAATTCATCTCCATATAATTTCTATATACATCTACCATATAATTTCTCCATATTAAGTATACAGTTCAATGTTTTTAGTTTATTCACGGTAAGTGGTGCAACCATTGCCACCATCAATTTTAGAACATCAATTTCATCACCTGAAAAGAAACCCCATGCTTATTAGCCATCATTTCCCACTCCCTATCCCACCCACACCCCTAGGCAACCACTAGTCTGCTTTTCTGACTCTATGGATTTGCCTATTGTAGACATTTTATTATAAATGGAATCATACAACATGTGGTCCTTTGTGTCTGGCTTCTTTTGCTTAGCCTGATGTTTTCGAGGTTCATCTGTACCAGTACCTTGTTCCTTTTCGTAGCTGAATACTATTCCACTGTCTGGATAGAGCACATTTTGTTGAGCCATTCATTAGTTAGTGTACATTCCACTTTTAGGCTGAGTTATACTGCTATGAACATTTGTGTATAATCTGAGGATTTGTTTTTATATTTTCAATCTTTATCACTTTGAACTGAGACATGTACAGGCACACAATTTTGGCTCCTTTTGGAATTCCCAGACACAGTATTTCTTAATGGCAATGGAAGTCCATGGAGCACATGCCACGCAGCTGAACAGACTACAGGGTAGTTAAAAGGAAGTGCTTGTTTATGCAGCTAAGTAAGCTCGAAATAATTTTCTCTGTACTTTTGATAATTTTCTGTGTGTACCTAAAACATACATTAGCATGCACATTTACCATTTCAAATATGATGGTGAGTTTGGTCAAAAAAATAAGGGTCTGGCCGGGGACAGTGGCTCACGCTTGTAATCCCAGCACTTTGGGAGGCCGAGGCGGGTGGATCATGAGGTCAGGAGTTTGAGACCAGCCTGGCCAGCATGGTGAAACCCCGTCTCTACTAAAAATACAAAAAATTTGCCGGGCCATGGTGGCGTGTGCCTGTAATCCCAGCTACTAGGGAGGCTGAGGCGGGAGAATTGCTTGAAACTGGGAGGTGAAGGTTGCAGTCAACCGAGATCCCACCACTGCACTCCAAAGCGAGACTCTGTCTCAAAAACAAACAAAACAAAACAAAACAAACAAAACAAACGGTCTGTGCCCTCAAAGCACTCATGTCCAGTCTTGCTGAGGGCAGAAGGGTGGCTGTGGAGTGTGTGTGGGGACAAGCAGACATCCAGCATGTGGGGCAATGTGGAGCCTTTGCCGGGGATGAACAGGGCACTGTCAGAGCATCAGGGGACACCTCAGACCAGACTTAGGGTGGGATGGTAGGGAGGTTGGGGGAAGCTTCCAGAAGGAATTTCATGACCATGTTGGAATCCACAGGAGGAATGGGTATAAATGAGCAAGAGAATCAGGGTAGAGAAAGAGGAAGGAGAGTTTCCAAGCAGCAAGTTGAGCATGTTCGGAGCGTCACCTTGAGGGGAACTCAAGGCGAGGTGTGGTGGAAACTGCAGATGAGAGGAGCAGGAAGGGCCCTGGTACCCCTGATAGCTGCGCCAGGTGGTTTGGACTTGATCCTATGAGTTGGGAAGCCATTAAAGGAAGCCCCATGAGCAGATCTGCATTTTGGCCACTCAGAAGGGGACACACGGGGTCAAGGGTAGGGACTTGTTTCCTCTGAAGTGGGAGGGTAAGTCATCTCTGGGGTGACAGTGGGAGGTCTGAGGATGTGGGGGGACTCTGGAAGAACCAGTGTGGAGAACAAAGTGAGCAGGAGGGTTGGAGAAGCAGCTTCAGGGCTATTGAAAAGATGAATATTTTAAATCCGCATCATCAGACATTATGGAGGTCCCTAGGGATGTGGCAAAGCACTACACTTACATAATTGTGCTTCAGTACATCTGTTGCCTTAACTGAGTTGAACTTAGTTGAATTGAGCTGGCTTAATTGAACTGAAAATGCCAATAAAAATAGAGAACAAAAATGATCAAAACAAATTCTGTGGATGCTGGAGCACCAGCCATCTTCAGTTTCATGATAGCCGAGACTCAGCAGCTCCCTGGTTGATTTCACATGCTTTGAAATGGAAAGCCTGGAAGAGAAGCTAATTATTAAAGGGAATCAAGGAGTCAGGGGTCCGGGGTGGGGGGCGGGGAGGAGATTTACCTGAGCTGTTACTTTGCTGCCACTGGGATGCCACAGTGTCTCAATCCTAGAGTTGGAGGGGAGTTAAACACAGGGCAGGGCAGGATCGGGGAGGCAGCCTACCCAGGGCATGGTTGTGGGGACCTAAGCAGATGTGTTCCTGCATGCATTGCTCAGTGAGGAACTGAGGCTCAGAGAGCTCCAGATGGTGGCTAGGAAGTAGGTCCATCTGACTCCAAATCAGTGGTCTTCCTGCCCCAGCCAGGTGCCACTCAAGTGAGAATGTAGAGGTGGCAGCAGGGGCCTTGCCATGGCTGTCCGAGGCGTGTGGTACACACAAGGAGGTGGCAGAGGAGGCTTCATCATATTGGCCATTCCTTTGTTTATTAAACTCCCTTTAGATGGGGAGCCCTCCATGGGGTAAAAGTAGAATTAATCTCACCTTCTGACCATCTCTGTATCTGTTGCCGCAGATGAGAAACATCATGGAATGGTTTCAGGAGACTAGATATACTTGCCATGGCAAGGCCACAATTATGGGTCTGGTGGGCACTTCAAGTAGCAATTTAGTCTGTCTGCATTAGGCCAGGCTTCTCTTCTAGCTCTGTGATGGGACTGGCTGTCAGGGAAGAGCCCCTGGGGAGGTAAGACCATGCTTATAAGGTCTTGCCACACATGCAGCTGTCAAAGCACCCAGATTACCTCGGAGCAGGCACACACAACAGCTGAGCATATGACTTCCGCTCCTTTGCTCAGAGCAATGACTTGTGGCTTTTATTCTTTGTCCAGATATGTACCCTCTGGTCACAGCGACCCAGGATGCTGACAGCAGCCAGAAGCTGGCCCACTTGCTGAACGCCGTGACCGACGCTTTGGTCTGGGTGATCGCCAAGAGCGGCATCTCCTCCCAGCAGCAATCCATGCGCCTGGCTAACCTCCTGATGCTCCTGTCCCACGTCAGGCATGCGAGGTACGTGCTCTCAGGAGCTGTCCCACTCGGGCGTGGGGTGGGATTATGTGCTCAACAGAGGGTGAAGTGACTTGGGAAAAGTGTCTGCAGGTTAAGGAAAATGACACCTGAAAGGGAATGGGGGATTTGTCAATTCACACACCTGTAGCCAAAGATGGGTACAGAGTGGGCATGGAAGGAATGTCATGTGGTATCTTACAAGATCTGCATGGCAGCCACTGGTGGTTCATCGGTTTTTCAGTTGCTGGGGTTTATAGCCTGTTTATGGACTCCTAAAAGGGGCAGTTCCTCCCCTAACATGAACTGCCACTCTTCTTTATACCACCCAGGGCTAAGGCCCTGGGTCATTTTTTGTGGAGAGGCTAAGACCCGCTCTCCTAGATGGCCCCTCGAGCTGGTGATATGGAAAAGTGCACAAATGCTTCCCTAAGAATGGTTCTTTCGATGGCATCAGGAAATTAAGGATAAGACTTAAGAGAAGTGGTGGGCCCAGCAGATTTAGGAAGGAATGGCTGTGGGTAGGGCATGTTTCTGATCAGGAAATGTAATTGTGCGTGCTGATGAAGAGGGTGTGTAGTGGTGGCTACTGTTGGTACAATGATGCTCAGTGCTTGGTGTCACCCACGATGAGGGTAGCCTTGCCCTGGAGCTGGAGGAGGGGAGGGGAGGATAGAAGGTAATTAATTGGTCACTGAGGAGGCAAGTCTAAAGGCTATGCAGAAGGACAATATACACCTCAAGAATCTTAAGTGAGAGGAGGTGAAGACCTCTGCCTTTCCCCTTTAATGATTACTCAGCATACAGCCATTTGCAGAACAGATCCTATTTGTAGATTCCTTCAATGTGAATTTATCTGCTTGCTAAAATTTCTTTGTAACCCCAAAATCAATATTCGTGGTGTTTTTGAGGTCATGAACAGAGTGGCAAAAACTTTGAGTTGCCCTTCATGCACAGTCCCAGCTGAGACGGAACAAGCAGCTGCTCTCCTACTGTCAACAAGTGTCCTTTACTTGGTCTACTTAGTGCCATGGTTTTACATTTTTGAGCCTTTGGTGAGTGACTTCATTGTTGAAAATGGCCCCCTAGTGTGGGGCTGAAGAGCTGTCTAGTGTTCCTTGGTGTGAAAAAGCTGTGATGTTCCTTATGGAGAAAGTATGTGTTAAGCTTTGCTCAGGTGTAAGTTACAGTGCTGTTGGCCATGAGTTCAATGTTAATGAGTCAATAGTATTGATTACATAAGGCATCTTTAGAAGGAAACACACATAAAACAAGGTTTTGTATTGATCAGCCGATGAAGATGTGGCCAGAGGCTTGCAGGAACCTAACCCTGTATTTCCCCTAGGAGTGAGGAGTCAGTGTTCACAATGATTTTATAGAACATGATTACTGCAAATAATGACAATCTATTGTCCTATGTGCCAGGCCATCATGGGTGTGTTGTGGGACACAGAGGCTGACAACGTCCTTGCCCTTGAGCCTAAATTATCAGGGGGAGCTGGATGCATGAGCCATGGATAAATGGGCTGGGGGAAGAGTGGGGTTAGGGGTGGGGTAGGTTGACTCTGAGCAGGGAGCTGGGGAAGGCTTCGGTGTTCCTGTGGCTGCCTTGGAGGAGGGAATCTCAGCACCTTTTTGTCCCCATAGTAACAAGGGCATGGAACATCTGCTCAGCATGAAGTGCAAAAACGTGGTCCCAGTGTATGACTTGCTGCTGGAGATGCTGAATGCCCACATGCTTCGCGGGTGCAAGTCCTCCATCACGGGGTCCGAGTGCAGCCCGGCAGAGGACAGTAAAAACAAAGAGGGCTCCCAGAACCCACAATCTCAGTGACGCCTGGCCCTGAGGTGAACGGACCCACAGAGGTCAAAGGCTGAAGCGTGAACTCGTGTGTCGGAGGCCTGGGCTTCATCTTTCTGCTGTGTGGTCCATCATTTGGTGATGGCAGGCTTGGTCTTGTACCGTCCTTCCCTCGCCCTCCCCAACTCCCAGGAGTCAGGGTGAGGAAGCCATAGTTTTCCTTGTTAGCGGAGGGCACATTTGAATGCAGCGTTTCCACACTGGATGGCCTCATAGGATCTCAATGTGGTATTCTTACTTTCCATCTTCCTTCCTTCCCTTTGTGAAACATCTTAAAGGTTTTGGAATGAATGGTGGAAATCTGACTTGGAAGGGCCGTGAATCAGAGGGGAGAGGAAGTGACATGCTTACAGGAAGTGGGCTCAGCCTTCTTTTGCAGTACACACTACCCTTCCCTTTGAGAGTTGACCTTTGTATGCTTTTTTCTGGACCACTTGATTGTAAGATTGAAAACCCCCGTGACATCTGCGTACTTACCTCCCAGGCCTGTGGGGACTGATCATATCATGATGCTTATTCTGTCAAAGGCCAGAGGGACTGTAGTCAAGCTGGGATGTGAGTCATGTTCTCTCCCTAACCTTGCTGCCAGCTGCACAGATTTGTCCCTCTTGATTTGCATTCACAGAGCCTGCCAATAATTTGGGGTATGTGTATATGAACATGTGATCATTTTCATGGAGAACTGTGGGAGATACAAATCTCCCTGCTCCTGGAACTGCCCTTCCTTACACCTGTTGTCCCATTGGGCCAGGATGGGTGCTGGAGAAAGGCCGTGTTTGCAGGAATGGGGTTCTCTCCTGTGGGTGTGGGTGACAGCCACAGTGTTTCCCTGGGGCACTGTGGATGCAGTTTCCATCTTGTACAACCTCATAAGTAGAGCCACAACTGCCACATCAGCTACCCCAAGTAGTCAGGGACACTTTGGGCTGTGGATGTGCATGGCATACTGTTTTATGGGTGGATGAGTAGCTATGCACCCCAGCGTGTCAGTTCTGGGGCCACACTGTATAGACTTGATGAGTACACCCCTTGAACAAGACCCAGTTTGTGAACTCTCCTTAAACAGAAATATTTAGGGATAATTATTTATAGCAAGAAAAAATTCTTTTACACTTGAGAGCGCTTTTAAAAATATTTTCTTATTGGAAAATTTATATGGTGGGCTGGGTGAAAAAGAAACAGTAAAAGTATTAGTTCTTATTCCAAGTGGAACCATAAACAGGATATGAAGAAGGGCACCTCTGAAATGTCAAAAACACAGTGAATGTGCAAAATGAGTAACAGCATACTTTGAAAGTGAGCAATTAAATAATCATGTTTCATTATTGCAGTAATGTTTTAATTACCTTGTGATGTGATATTAAATATATATTTTTTGAAAATATGTTCACTTTGGCTAGCACATCCTGTATTTACTAAGTCATTAGGAAGATTACATTCAGTGTTACCAAGACTGGTTTTTGCTAGTAAGACCTTGAATAATCTGTAATTTTGATATTGGTGCAATTTTACTAAAAGTTGAGCTTAGCTGTTTCAGAAACGCTTGGACAAGTACCTAGAGAACACACTGATGTCTGCGTTCTGAGGCAGTTTGAAGTTATTCTTAGTGACTCAGTGTTACAGCCTTAGTAAGATTTAGTACAGGCAGGATAAACTTGGTTTCATAGCAGCTTCTTTCCTCCTGATCAGCCTAGAATGCCCCACTCCCAATAGAGGGGTTTGGAAGCTGGAGAGTAGGAAGTAAGAGGCAAAGAAGGCAGCCTTCAACAACTCATTATGTGCCAGTGAAATTCTATTAAATGTATTTTTAAAAGAGATTACCAGGTAACAAAAACATAAAAAACCAAAACAAGGCCAGATGCGGTGGCTCACGCCTGTAATCCCAGCACTTTGGGAGGTTTAGGTGGGTGAACCACTTGAGCCCAGGAGTTTGACTCCAGACTGGGCAACATGGAGAAACCCTGTCCTACGAAAAATACAAAAATTAGCCAGGTGTGGTGGTGCAGGCCTGTAGTTCCAGCTACCTGGGAGGCTGAGGTGGGAGGACCACCTGAACCTGGGGGGATCAAGGCTGTAGTGAGCCGAGATCATACCATCGTACTCCAGCCTGGGTGACAGAGAAGACCCTGTCTCAAAAAAAAAAAAAAAAAAAAAAAAAAAATTAACGTGGAATATCTATCTATCTATCTATTTTTTTTTTTTTTTGGAGAGTAGATCTTAAGACAGATGTGTTCACTTCTACTCCTGGGAGTGAACTGGCAATGGCAATCCCTTTAGAGCCTCGAGTGGACAGTCGCGGGAGCGCCGCACAGTGAGTTTCCAGCTGAGCTATTCTCACCAAATCTCCCTCTGTTCTCACGGCACCCCTCTGTCAGGCCTGTCTCATAGTCACTGCCTACCACGACTGACTACAAAAGATTTGACCCTAAAATAGTCTTGAAGGGATTTTTCTAAAAAAATTAAGGTGGGAACATGAGACAAAGCTGTCGGCCTAGTAACAAATCTGAGGACTCTTAACTGCATTAAAAATAAAACAGTGCAAAATCGATGGGAGCTGTGCAGTGCGAGTCTTGATCTGGAACACTTCCCCTGCTAACTCAGCTGGAAGGGCAACTATTTTAGATTTCAGTAAGGAAGAAACATCAGTTACCAATACTTGGCAGAGCCACATTATATATCCATATATATTTATATGTGTAAGTGGAGTTGAAGCAATTCTAGAATTTTCTAGCATGTGAAAACAGGGTTTGGTTCTTATGACATCTACTAAGGGACTTTACTAATTCAAAGTGAACCTTCTGTTTATAGGCCTATTTTGAAACAAAATATCTTCATTTAGTAAGATTTGACACTGTTTTGTTTTTTTTTGAGACAGGGTCTGACTCCTGTTGCCCAGGCTAGAGTGCAGTGCAGTGGCGCCATCATGGCTCACTGCAGCCTTGACCTCCTGGGCTCAAGCGATCCTCCCACTCAGCGCCCCATCCCACCCCATTCCCGCCCTCGCCGAGTAACCGGGACTACAGGTGCACACCACCACACCTGGCTAATTCTTTTAGTATTTGTAGAGATGGGGTTTTACTATGCTCCCCAGGCTGGTCCTGAACTCCTGGGCTCCAGTGATCTGCCTGCCAAGGCCTCCCAAAGTGCTGAGCTTACAGGCGTGAGCCACTGTGCCCAGCCCCGCCACATTTTTTTTCAGTTGCTGAAAATCTTTTAAAAAGATGAAAACACATTATTTAGTACCTAAAGATAATATTTGTGCCAGACACAGTTCTCAATGCCTCAGATATTCATATTTAATCCTTATTATAATAACTGCTATTGTCCTGATTTTCTGGTTGTGGAACTAGACAGGGTCTAAGCAAACTCGCTCAAGGTCACATGGGGAGGTGATAAAAGCTGAATGCAGGCAGTCCAAGTCCAGTGCTGACAGTGACCATGCACTTCAACCAGTTAAAAAATCTAAAGACAAATATTTTAAAACTGCAGAATCTTTCTGTCAGGTGCAACATGACATGCATGGCTGCTGTGATTTAAATGGGGCCCCCTTGTAATACCCCCTTACCTCCCACCACAATGTCCAGAACCCCCCTACAGACACAGTAAGTTTGTAAACCTCTCACATAAAAGTTTAACTCCACCTTTCATATCTGTGTAAATTAAAGCCCACGGGGGCAAATTCACCTATTCGAGGTTGTAAAACTACCCATGGCAAAGCTTGGACTGGCACGCAAGTCTTCTGCTTGCCCAGCGGGCCAGTCCTGCTCCTGCCCCAGGACTTGCTTCTGTGAGAATCTGCTTTGTGAGCTGAGTCGCAGCAGAATGGAGGGGTGGTAAAGTTAGGGTTGTCTTCTGCTGTACCTTTAGATCCCGTCTCCTCAGCTTAGGTGGGTCTGCATGAACCTTTACAGAACAGCAGCAACAACAGATGGAAAAATAAGATGCATTCTATTATTCCCATCGTCCCATCCCAGGTTCGTGAGCTAGTGGGTACTGCGATCTGTGACTGCTTTCCCCAAACACATGGAACATGTTCCTTGGAAGTGTACTCGTGTAAAACTCACACCTTTTAGGCACTGATGCTTCCCTGTGGTGTGATATACTATAGTATCATAGTGTGAAAACACGTGCCACTTCTTTTATAGCTCTCAAACTTGCTGGAATTTTGGCTCCAGTGGCGGCTCTTAAGATGCGCATTGTCTGTGATGTATGACTGTAGTGCCATTTCTGTTGCTTTGGGTCAAGGATTTTTTCTTTTTTTTGAAACGGAGTCTCGCTCTGTCGCCCAGGCTGGAGTGCAGTGGCACGATCTCAGCTCACTGCAAGCTCCGCCTCCCGGGTTTATGCCATTCTCCTGCCTCAGCCTCCTGAGTAGCTGGGACTATAGGTGCCCGCCACCACGCCCGGCTAATTTTTTGTATTTTTTTTAGTAGAGATGGGGTTTCACCGTGGTCTTGATCTCCTGACCTTGTTATCCGCTTGCCTCAGCCTTCCAAAGTGCTGGGATTACAGGCATGAGCCACCGCGCCCGGCCTTTTTTTTTTTTTTTTTTTTTTTTTTTTAATTCCAGGGATCCTATTCACTTGTAGGACCAGCCACTGGTAACTGGTAGTGGGTTTCCTCTATGGGAAGCACATAAGGAGTGGCGATGCCAGCTGCGAACAGTTCCCGTTGACTGTACAATGGATGTTTTTGCCGTTGTTTCCTCTGTTGAGTGTCTCAATGCCTTAACTGTGGGTCCTATGCCTTTTATCAGTGTGTACCTCAGAGCCTGTTGGTTGGTTATCATTTGCCATTTTCTCAGACGAATGCTTTGTACCATTACACTAATTTGTTGATTTCATTTGCAGGCTTTACATTTGGGCCTTGTAGAAATGAATGTTTGCTGCTATGTGAAAGCAGATTTTGAGACCTGCTTTCCCTTCCTCCAGGGAGTGTTTTCCTTACTGTGTCCCTTTAATGTCTGTGGCACTGTGGCAGAGAGTTTAACATGATATAAATAAAGTGTTTCATTATTTTGGCTTTAAAAATGTATTTGTTGGGCGCTGAGTGTGAGAACTTACAGTAATTAGGCTAAGTAGTGTCTACATTCTATTCTGAATTCTAGTATTTTGGGGTTAGAGAGTCCTTTGAGAATTTGATGAAAACCAGGGCTAGTTTTCCTGGGAAAGGGCATCTGAACACAAATGCTTGAGTATGATTTCAGAAGAGTGAAGAAGCTCTGCTTTAATATATGGCTTCTTAAAAAAGAACAATCTCATGTTTAGTCAGCTCATCTCACACCTGTGATTGATTTATGACCACAGGTCCCATGTACACAAGTAAAATGGGGCCCACACAAGTCCTGGTATCTAGTGCATCAATTATTTGGATAGATTTTCTGTAATCATTCTATCTGAGTTTGATTAGAATTATATCCTTTGGAGATGGGGAGAAAAGCAATTCATTCATTTGAAGTTATCTTAGTGCCAAGAGTCATTTTCTTGCATGTGGGCAATGAAAGATTTGCAGACGATATAAAACCCAGACTACCTCATAAAAGAGTTTTGGGAATACACTGAGCTCTGAGTGAAAGAAGCTACAGTGGCTTCCCTGGAGATGGGGGGGGGGGGCAAACCAGCTTAAAGGCCTTCATCCTGAGGAAGAGACGAAAATTGATATGCACAGTATTAGGCTTTGAAATGCAGACCACACTTCCTTTCACTGCAACTTTGACTTGTCCCACATCTCTACTTAAGGGCAGAAAAGGCCTCTCACTCACTCACCTCATTTGGAATGGAAGACGGAGATACTCTTTTGCCTGAAGCAACGGATGGATCCGTGACCTTCTAATCAACTCGGTGGCCTAAAGAAAAATCTTGGGTAACATTTTCACTTCAGTTTCCCTCTGGGATCATTGTAATCCATGAAAAAAATAATTTTAAAGAGTTAAACTACTTTGAAGTTATGTGGTTAAAAACCACCTTCCTTTCTGTATCAATCCAACAATTTGGTAACTTTAAACACTGAAGGTAAAGTGAAGACGGATTCTCTTCAGATGGTCTCCCTAACTGTCCAGGCCTTGCGGATGTCTCACCCACGAGGGGCACCAATGTGGAAAGCTGAGGCTTCAGCTACTGATGAGCTTCACTGCTTTCCCCTGAGGTTTGTGCTTTGCAGAGAAGGGGAGGAGGGGACTGGGATTGTGTGGTCAGCTGTGTCTGCCAACAGATGCAGGTTAGGAACTAGGAACTGTGTTCAGTATCTTCCAATCAAGAAAGGGGAAATGCTGATGCCTATCCTCTTTGTTTAGGTAGAAAGTAAAATGTTACTGGGCTTAAAGGGACAATAAGGGGCTTTGCCTGTTAATTTGCCATGTAGCAGGCTGGAAATCCAGGCACAGGTGGGAATCCAGCTCACATTTTGGGAGGCTGAGGTGGGCAGATCACTTGAGGTCAGGCGTTTGAAACCAGCCTGGCCAACATGGCAAAACCCCGTCTCTATTAAAAATACAAAAATTAGCCAGGCATGGTGGGGTGTGCTTGTAATCCCAGCTACTCAGGAGGCTGAGGCATGAGAATGGCTTGAACCTGGGAGGTGAAGGTTGCAGTGAGCCAAGATTGGGCCATTGCACTCCAGCCTGGGTGACAGAGTGAAACTCTGTCAAGAAAAAAAAAGGAAACTGGGTATAAGATCCCTCTCTTCATGTCCACCTCTCACGCCATGTTGCTTTCGCCATTCCCTACAGCATCTGAAGGTCACACACTGAGAATTTATACATACACAAGGGTCCAGAGCTAAAAGTTAATTCTGTAAAAGTTAAGTTAAATAAGACTTACTAGTTTAGAATAAAAGGCCCTCCCCAATATTTTAAAAATAATTTTTGTTCTTTGGAAGATTAAGCATACCATTGAACTGCTTTGTTATAGAATTCAGTACAACAGAAGTCTGGCTAATTTTGTTTTTTAATGAGAAACATCTGAGTTGTACATATCACAAACAGCTTCAAGTTTCCGTACCAACCCCCACCCCCCCAACCCGAACCCCTGCCGTGGCCAAACGGTTAAAACCCAAAGCATCACTTTGGATGTGAAAAAGTCTTAGAAAATTTAACTTACAAAAACATCTCTATCAAGTCGGTAGTTTGGCATTTACTGTACATTAGTCAAAAGCTCCAGCTAAAATCTGATTTTTTAAAAAAATCGAAGTTTACATTATTCATACAGATTGGGCATTGTTTAAAAATATGCACAAATAACCACATCCATGCAATATAATTTCTTTAAAAATTTAAAGCAATATAAAAGAGCAGAGCTAGGTACTGAACAGAACATTTTGGTATATAACTGGTAGCTCAAAATTGCCAGCTGATTGGAGTAAAACTGATTCTAAACATATTAAATGTGATTGTTTCCATCAGCTAAGGGTGCCTACGAGTTTCTGAACCATTTCTAGGGTGGAATGTGCTCGCTTGCTTCTATAATATACGTGAGGGACACCACTGCTCATTGACCATACCTACATTATAATAATGCTGTTTTACAAATAAACCAGAATTCACAAAGTGCTTGGCTCTTCAGGAAATTGACATTTCCAGAGATCCCTAAACCAATCAACTAGTTTTGCCAAAACACCCGGGGCAACTGCCGCACAGGTTCCCTGCCCCTGGAGAGGAACACGATTTGAAAGCTGCCCTGGGCTTTCAGAGAGCGTGCCGGGCAAGCCCAGAAGAAGGTGTCTGCATAGGTCCCCAGACCTTGCCAACACTAAGTCACTCAGATTGATCTGGGACCACGTGCTGGGCACCCTTAGCAATCAGGCAGGTGGTGTGGCCTGTGGTCAGCTACATCCTCTATGTCGGGGGTGGCCCGTTGGTGTACCTCAGCATGGGGTAAAAAGACCGGGCAAAGTTGTTTGCCTGAGTGCAGCTGTAATCTTCTTCGGAGGAGGGCAGAAGGCAGGCCAGGAGCAGTAGCAGCAGGAGCAGCAGTTGCAGGGGCAGGGCTGCCCGGATCACCCTCGAGAGGAAGGAGCGCTGTGGCCGTGTGCTGCCAGGGACCCTGCCAACAGAGGAGGTTGAGAGCTGATTGGGAGGCTCCACAGGCACGACCCACTCTAGTACCTGACCCCCTGCTTATGTAAGTAAGAAATACAAGACCTGAGATTTAAATGGGGCCAACGGTTGGGGTTCAGTTTCAGAGGAGAAGACCAGCCCTTTCCAGACAAAACAAAACCAGAATTTTGCAAGGACCTTGATAGTGGCATTGGCAAGACTGAGGCAGTGGGAGTGTGGAGCAGGGGAAAGGACTGCTGTCACGGTAAAGCCCTGTTACCTGCTCTCTGTCTCCTCCTCGCCTTCTGTAGTTCTCGCTGCTCTGAACTGCTGGGTAAAGAAACTCCAGTTAGTAAGTTGAAGACAGTTTAGTCCTATCAATGATAAAACAAAAAAATCCTCCCTTAAATTATATACCACCTTTATGTTGTGTTACAGCCAAACTTTGGAGACTAGAGTAATACAATTGAGATTAAATGTCACCTGAGGTAGGAAATAATTCGGTTCATCTACTCAAGAGTTTCAGGGTCAAGTTTGTTGATCTGTTTTTAATGGCAAAATCAGGAAACCCCTTTAGGAACACTAAGAGCTCTCATTCACAACCTACAGTGCTCCCAAAGAAGAGTGACTAGAAGGCAGACTTTAAGTTCTTAAAAATAATATTTTAATTAAAAAAAAAAAATTGGAGTAAGCCCTCTATGGGTCAGCAGAGACCTGTGCTGTCCTGAAATGGCTAATGGGCTCTTGGAATCCAAAGTGTCCCTCATCTCAGTGACTTTTAAAAATAGCCAGTGAGGTTCTCACAGAAGGAAAGGGGCTGCTTACCTTTGCTCGGGGAGCTGGCATGGATGCCGTGGGAAGCTGGTCCCCTGAGTCTACCTCATCGAAGCTGGCCAGGGGTGGGGCTGGGTTCTGAAATTAAGACCCCAAAGGTTGAGTACAGAAATGTGTTTCATGCAGATTCTTCATGATACAGCTCACCTTCCCCCAGCTTAAATCAAACTTTTTTGTTTGTTTTAGACAGTCTCACTGTGTCACCCAGGCTGGAGTGCACTGGCACAATCACAAGTCACTGCAGCTTCGACCTCCCAAACTCAATCCTTCTACCTTAGCCTCCTGAGTAGCTGAAATTATAGGCATGCACCACCGCACCTGGTTTTGTATTTTTTTTGCAGAGATGGGGTTTCACCATGTTGCCCAGGCTGGTCTCAAACTCCTGGACTTAAGTGATCCACCTGCCTTGGCCTCCCAAAGTGCTGGGATTATAGGCATGAGCCACTGTGCCCAGTCTTAAATCTTTCCTGAAGGGGCTCTTCTATTGCTCTCACTCCCAACAACAACAGACAAAAAGGAATGTAAACAAGGAAAAGCCAACCCATATTAAAAACCAACCCATAGCACAGAGCTGGGGAGACTGAGTTTAGCAGCAGCAGTTCGAGTTGACGGTGAGCTCATCACAGGTCAGTAATGAGATCATGTGGCCATCAAGAGAGTCTAGTCTAGGCTGCTTAGGAGAAAATAGACCTGCCCTAAGTCTGGTGAGGCCACAGTCTGGGCATTCCCTTTGTTTTGAGTTAGATCCCACTTTAAAGTAGGCCAGGTGCGGTGGCTCATGCCTGTAATACCAGAACTTTGGATTGCTTGAGGTCAGGAGTTCAAGACCAGCCTGGGCAGCATGGCAAGAACCCTTCTCTACAAAAAATACAAAAATTAGTCAATTCCTTTAAAAAAAAGTTAAAAAAATTGTCGCCCCCCCACCCCCTTTTAAAAATGACAAAACAGATTCAAAGAGCTCATACAGCTCTTTGAGTCTGCACAGCTAGAAAAGGGCACGACATGAGGCCCCGCTCGGACCACCTGGCCCTTGCTTCTGGCTTCTGTCTTAGAGCATGGCTGCAACACTGCTGTCCTGTTTGCATGTAATATGGTAATCTTTACATTTAAAAGCTACAAGTAGACTCACCTGGGTTCCCTGCAAGGACATTAAATCTTGGGACACTTGCTCTCGTAACTGTTTGAGTTTCTTCTCAATAACATGCACCTTTTCTTCAGCTTCAATGTAGTCTTCTCCATGTCCCTTAATGAGAAGGCTGTTTGAAGTCTCCTGCAGCAAGTCCACTTGAGGCTGACGTTCTACCAGCTCCTTTTCCAGTTGCTGAAAACAGAAAAAGTGTGTGAAACAGTGACTTGTCCAAAGGGAAGCGAGTGTGGACACAGGAGGTTTTTCTCAGTACCAGAAAAGTTCCAGACTCAATGATGGGTAGTACTCAACTCCAGAACCTTCTGTTGCTCGTATCTGCCTGTGTCCTCAGCCCAGCACTATTTAGATAGCAAGTGGATTATACTCTGCCCCTATTTTTAATTTCTTTTCACTCTGAAGGCAATTGTGATGCTGGAGAAATTAGAGGAAAGAAGTGAGGCAAGTGGTGTGGCAAGACCAGGTCCCTCATCCACCACGGAAGGAAGTAAAGGGAAACTCTAAAGTCAATCACGCGAGAAACAGCAGCATAACCATAGAGGTTCACACCAGGAAAACGGGCTTTAATTGTTAAGGGTGGTTATCTTGCTTGCAATATGGCCACTAGACACATGTGGCTATTCATTTATTTATTTTTTTGAGATGAAGTCTCACTCTGTCACCCAGGCTGGAGTGCAGTGTCACGATCTGGGCTCGCTGCAACCTCCACTTCCTGGGTTCAAGCGATTCTCATGCCTCAGCCTCACAAGTAGCTGGGATTACGGGTGCCTGCCACCATGCCCAGCTATTTTTCTTTAATTTTAATTTTTATTTTATTTTGTATTTTTAATAGA